TAGATGGGGAAACAGGTTGACCTTTAGTTATTGCAAGCTGGGCACAATTTGATTTGGCTGAACTAGTTGGGTATAAGTTTTCCGAAAACCTAAGAATAATCAAAGCATTTCAGTCCACTAAAGCGAAAGAAGGCCTACTTCATGCTTCACTCAATCAGTCAAACCTGTATCGTTGTTTAGTTATAAAATCAGTCTGGCGGTCTGTGCCTGATGCTCATTCACTGTACTTAGAAGGGAGCACCAGCCTAGCATTACGTGACACTAACGGTCATTTGTCGGCCTCTCTGTATATGCGCTTATAAGCATGTGCTTATGTGCTGAATCCGCACAACTCTATTACAACATAGGCTGTCGTGCCTTTAGTCCTAGGCCCTAAGGGAACCAGTGTGTTATTCCTTAGTAATCAGTCCCATCCAGTATTGATTAACTGTGTTAATCGTGCTCACTTGCCTGCCCCAAAGCATCTCACCACTGTCTGTGTTGTAGTCAGCTCATAGATCTATATACGTGTTGACAGATAGTAAGAAGACTGTACTCATTTGCTTGGTCACCAGAGTTCGGCTCCAAAAATTATTCTGTTATTGAACTTTAAGTTTTAACAACTGACTGCATTTGTAGCAGTGAAGTTGAGGGTTAGATTGAAGCTGTTTGAGAATACGAGAATGCTCTTTTTGGTTCGAGGGGTAATGATATACGTTGGGACATTGGGTAGTCAGTGAACACGACTAGTGAAATGGCATCGATGAACTGTTTGGTTCCGGTTAGGATTTTGAGCCAGAAAAAAATAAAACGTGTTTATTTTGTTTTGGGACAGTGCGCGAAGCAGAATTGTGGGTTTCTTTAATTTAATTTAATTTCATTTAGATAGTTTTCTTCTTGGAACGCATGCAAACTTTGATCTCTTTACGTGCCTTGAACGAACCTTATCCTTGTGATTTTATGCCTCTTTTTATGAAAATTTCGCCCAAGTATTTGTCACAAACTTAGACAAAATTGTACAATTAGGATGAAACATCGTGAAATAATGGATTCGGATCAACTGAAAATTAACGGAACATAAGACTCGGTGTGTCACTTAATTTATTGAATAAACTGCTAAGTCGAAATCTTTCCGGTTATTCATTCTCAAGCTTCTGCATTAATATACGATCATAGGGAAGCAATAAAAGTCATTATATATAAATTAAGCCAGTGCGAGAGCGGGGGGTGGGTTTTACAGAGTTGCAATCACTTGATTAAACTGATCACTCAGTCATCGTTTGACTATCTGAATAAAGGATGATTGCGTGATGGTCATGATAATTTCAGTTTACAGTTGCACAGTTCAGACTAACGCCCCAGCATTGCAAAGCGTAATTTGCCTCAGTTGTTTAGTTAGATTCATCGGGGTGATCTTAACTGAATTTTGGCATCTACCGTATGGTCCATGTTAATAAATTGCTCCACAACTGAGCTACGAATGACCTTTATTAGTTGTTTTCTCAACTAAGTCGGAGGATCAGCTTGAATCTGTTTGTTCAACCGCCGACGAGTACTACCGGCTCCACAGGAGAGCGTGAATTGATAGACAAACATAGAAATGGTTGACGGTGGCAGTCGATCTTTCAGTCTCTGAGCAATACTAGGATAACATGAGCAGAATTTTCATTCGGTTGCGTTAAAGGTGGATTTTATTGCTTACGATGTTCTCTTTTCAGAGTTCACTGACGCTGTCGTTTACAAAGGGTAGACTGATAAATAATGACTTCTTGAGGATGTTTTAAAATTTGTTCTTTCGTGGCATCATTTTCATGTACTCCTCGATGAAATTGTCTGATTATCCATTCTATCGGAAAGGGCTTTGTAATCGGTGTACACGGGGAGTTTTTGGAATATTCAATTCGGTTTTCCACAGACACAAGGCACTGTTAATGATCCTGAGTGTGGGTTTCACTCCTTGGGAGATCGTTTATTTCCCACCAGCTAAACGCATTTAAGCGTGCATAATTTTGCGTCCCTGTCAGGACTCGAACCACGAACCTGGTGTCTGAGAAAAATTAAATGGTCTAATCTACACGTTTCCCGTCTAAACTGATCGAGCCATTCGCACAAGGTGATGAGCATTGACGGTGTTGCACAGAGGTAGGGGTGTTGACTCCAATCCGAATGTAATGCTGACGAGTCCCAAACAGAATGAAACCAATGCTTCGTAATTGTTTCAACTCATCCACCAATGTTCCGTTGGAACGTATCATTCTTGTTCAGTGGGCTAGACAACGCACTAGGTTTCACTGTTGTTAGATCGTTACTGCACTGTGGAAGTTTATATTTTGTCCTTTTGTGCTTTCTATGTATGCTTGTCTAAGTGGTTCCATCCTAATCTTGGGAAAGCAGTACGTCGAGAAAGGGAATACATTCGTTCCTTTTGGGCTCCAGTGTTAATTGTTTCGACTTAAGTGCCTCATTGAACGTCAACAACAATTACGAAAAATTTGTTGTCGAATTGCTAGTGGAAAATATATCTTCAATTCAGTCATAATAAGCTACAATAAGGAGATCTTGTCTTTTAGTTCGCGGTTTTCAACTTATTATTAAAAGTGTTTGTTGATCATGGGGCACGTGGTGAGCCCATTGCCACACCATGTACTTTATGGTACATGTGCCCATTGCATACGAACTGAATATTCATCGTGCAACGTAAGAGGAGTTCTTCCAGATATAGTATTGGAATTACTGTATTTATCTGGTTCTGTAACATGTAATTATAGAGATCATTAATCGTTTCAATTAGTGGCACATTGGTAAAAAGTGAAGATACATCCAACGAAAACATTGGTTTGTTGCCTGGGTTATTTGGGATTATTTCGAAGAACTGACCTGTATCACATGAGATATATTTCACTATTTTATTCCGGATGAATTATAGCTTGGATAAGAGCAGTCGTGCAGTTGAATAGGACGAAGAACCATACATTAAAATTATGGCTGGTGATCCGACTGAGTTACTTGGGGTGGGCCGTATAGATGTGGGATACGTGAGCCTTGGGGTTATAGTCTTTCGAATTCCGTCGTTGTAATAAAGCTCGCGCTCTGAAATCTTTTGAGCAATATCGTTGGTTGTTTTTCACCATCGCCTTTATTATCCTTATCCTGACCTGGGTGCTAAAATTTGATCATACCTGCCAAAATAACTTCCATTTTCTCAACTGAAATGTGAGCTTCGTGCTTGGAGAAGTTATTACAAAACAATACAATACAATAACGTAATCAGCTCTGTTCACCAATCCATCATGAAGAGACTGGGTCAAGAGTAACTAAAATAAGACCCGGTAGGAGGATATGAAAACATCAACCAGTAGACTCAGTCATGTAGGCCGCGTCACGCTTCCTGGATGGGAACCTGGAGATTGTGGTAACTGGCGGTTTGAGAAATTGAGAGATAAGGCTGACTGTCGAAAACAGTGGCGTTCATGCACCTTCTCAATTTCTTTGCAATCCTGATCTTTATTTTGTCTTCAACTCTACTTCAAACCTCTTGTCTTTCTCCTACTGCTTTCTTCACCCATGGTATCTGTAAAGACTGATGTTTTATATATATATATCACTATAAGTAGTATGTAAATGACTGTACAAAATTTCCCTGGAAGCACGATCAGTTTCGCGGTTCTTTTCCGCTCGTCAGGCATGCGTATCCGGTACTCTTTTGTCAGTTTATTCATATACTTGTATCCAGGAAGTGTACTTTCGTCATCCAAATGGGTAGCCAAAAGACAGCAACCAAAACCGGTGCACGAAAGTGCAGGGTTATTGGTTCTACACACTAAACTGAACTGAAACTACCAATACTAGCCATGGATACTATTCCAGCGCCTTTGTCAGCCTTCGAAATCACTGGTTGCTTGTTTTGAATAAGTTGCTTAAGTGTTTCCCGGTGACGTTTTGTTAAGAGCCCGTTAACTGTTTTATAAACGGTAGTAAGAACTATGGTTAATAAAGTGTAAACTGCAGTATTGTGTTCCTTTTAAGACTGCATATTCAACTTACATTGGTGAATCATCGGTCAGGGATGAAAAAAGCCCACTTCTGTGATTGAATTGCATTTTTTCTGTCTCTTTAGAGGATCGAAGCGAACAGGGTCAAACAACTGAGAAC